CAGAAGCATCTGCCGAAAAGACCGATGCCGGTAGCGACAGAAACTGTGTGGGACTCTGCAAAAAACGCATCTTCGCACGGGCAGCCCGTGGGTTGGCCATTTATTTTTTTTTTAAGGTAAAGAAAACGATGGATACCCGGTTCGTGTTTTTTCTTTTTTGGTTCATAATTTCTTCCATGTTACGTCTTATGTTTTGTATTTCTTTGTAAAATTTCATGGCCTTCACTGTATTATCACTCGCAGGTTTCTTTGCAAACACAATTTTTTTAATTGTAATATCTGCTAGGATAAAAAGCTGGGCAGGACATGTGGCAAGAATGACAGACAACAGATGAAACCGAAAGAATAACTTATCGGAAACTACAACGTGACAGAAGAAGAAATGGAAAGCCAACGACATGCTCAACCGATCTTCCGACTATGCTATATCATATGCCATGAACCTGTGCTAACTGAGGTATCAAGCAAATAACATCTGCCTTTAGACTCAAGAACACCAATTTCTTCACGACTTAACAGTTCGTTTTCATGAAGAACTGTTTCTAGCTTATTAATGAAAGCAACCCTGTGAAAAAGAAACCAGTGGTGAGTGATGGAAGCAGAAATAAGTCTCAAAAATGAGGGGGCCGATTTCTTTGGCCACACAATGCAACAGGGAGTAGTTTTTGACTATAATTAACTATCACAGCAGAAAAAAATCTAAAAAAACCCCCTATACTTTGGCATAAATCAAAAATATGAATGTAAAAGGGAGCGTAGTAATGATGAAAACTTACTTTGCTGGCGCATATTTGTATGTAGAGACCTGTTTGACATGAGCAAGACGTTCATCCTCAGTCATTTTTTCGAATTCCTCCTGCAAATGCAAATTTACTTCACTGCATTGCAGACGAATTTACGTGGTAAATTACCTACTACGCTAGGTACAAGAGAATACAGCTGGTCTTTATTTTAACAAGAAATGCAAAGAAGCGGAGGAAAAGGAGTGTCCGAGGCTGCCAAGTGGTAACGAGGGAAGCTAGAAGGCTGAAATTTTGAGGAAATGTTCCCCGTCCAAGCGTGTATTAATGTGCTCAAAAACAGCCCCCTGGTATACGCGAAAGCCACGCAAGGGGCCTGGTCAAAGTTTTCGGGTGAGTTACTAACACTGCCTGCACTGGGCAAAGTGTTTCGCATTGTCTCCGAGAAAACGAGTTTCATGAAGGACTCTTTCGTCACCAATCGCATTTCGTGAAGGCTCGATAGACTTCTGTTGAAAAAACTGCTCTCCAAATGCAAAAAAAAAAAAAAAAGGAAAAAACTGCCACAAAGGCGGGAGCAGTTATTTGTTAGCTTCATCCAGAAATTCAACCGTTTCCCTTCCGATCTGATCTACACAGACTACTGGATCCCCCAAACCCCTGCATATATACGCCCGGACATGTCAGTTAATAAACTATATTGATAGATAGAACCCATCGGCAAACACCTGCACTCTCAGGATAGATTGCCGAGGTTTTAACCCCGCTAATGAGAAAACCAATCCCTCTGCGATTCGTTCATTTGCATCAATGATAAACTAATATTGCTGTATATTAGGGAACCCAGACCGTCATAATCTTACTTCTAAACAATCCTCAAAAAAAAAAAGAAAAATAAAAAAAGTAACGGTGCTCTTGTCAGTGGATGACTGTTGCGAGTACATGTTGGCTACACTCAAAGCCAGTTTACAATAAAATTTTCACTTCAAAATTCGCTTAAGCCACATATTTTGGCAAGCTTTTCCCTATAGTTATTGCAAAAAAAGAAGCCGTTTCATCAATTAACTATACATAAATATACAAAAAACGTACTGTACTTATGTGCGGAACAGCGTCCTCATCCACTGGTGCAGTTGCCTTCGTGACTATGCCCGAATTTGTCGTATCCCTAAAAAATTAAAATCAATTTTATCCATTAATTACAACAGTTTTTTACAGTCAAAAAAGCCAATTTAACGAAGAGACGTAAGGCACAGCTCATGATTGAGATTTCTGCTGTCGCCTCCAACAGTAACTCTAGGCTATTCGGTAGCAGAAGGTCACGTCAAAGTCGCACCTGGCACTGTGCTAATTCGAAAACTAGCCGGAAAACACAACTGCAATTTTTGTCAGAATATTTATCGTCCATATGGGGAATCGTACAACTAAACTGAATTTCGACTTTTGCACTTACGCTATGACTTAGGCCACTTCAATGACTTGGTAGCCTGTCCGTGTTTCATCCCTGAGCTGTAAACTCAGACGGCAAAATTGGTGTGAAAGGAGGTTTGAATCACCAGTACAGTGCCCCATTTCGCCAATGGCTAGGTAGGAGAATCAGTAAATGTCTGGAGAAATCAAGAAAGAAGTGGACGTCAAAATCATCATCAGGTTGGTCAACAACTAAAGCAGTACTGTCAGAGCAATCTTGGAAGGTTAGCGCTGTTGCTGGCGCGACGATAAGGCCCTGTGATGAAA